TGCTGACTAAAAAGAACCAATAAAAAAAAGCTACCATTTTGTGAAATTTTGTTGTTGAGAAACATTCACTGGTAAACGTTTTCCAAAAAAAAGAAAAAGGCATGACGTAATTCGGAAACAAAACATAACATCAATATTATTGTTGAGTGGGTCCACTTGAGATTTTAGGCCTCTAACCCAGTTATGGGGTATCCACCAGATGTCCAGGCTTCAGCCCAACAAATTACCAGGCTGATTCTTCCCCATCCTGGGTTTGGGTGGGGTCAAAACTGCAATTGGCTTCCTTCTTCTTCTTCTTCTTCTTTTTTTTTTTTTAATTTAATGTCGATCCCTTTTTTCTTTTTCTTTTTTAACATGTCCCTCCCTCTTATTATTTTTAGGAAATTCGACAAATGAAAACATAATAAGGGGCAATTAAGAATAACATTAGTACCAATAATATATTGATTTAAGTGAAAAAATTTTATTTATTTCTAAATAAAATTTTAAGTTGAAATTTTATTAATATAATTAGAAGAACCTTTTTTTTTATAAAATTTAATGTAATTTATCTCTAAATTAATATAAATTAATATAATTTTTAAATATCAATATATTAGTACCAAAAGAATAACACACTAATAACAACAACAACAATAACCTCCTTGTTGTCCCCACAATTATAAACTGCGATTTGCATAAGTAGATCCAAGAACAAGTCCAAATAACTACGATCAGGTGGATTATTGAGTCGGAATTGATACTACCAACCATCAAATTGCAAAATAAACCCCGAGGAGACTATGAGATTGACATATGAGCGTATATGTCCAAAACCACTGCCGCGCGTATTACAGCATAAGACAATACAAACAATTCCAAAATTAATTAACAATAAGTGAAGTAGCTTTGCAAAATATGTTCAAAAAAAAAAAAAAAGTGAAGTAGCTTTTATATTTAATATGAGATTTTTTTATTTAGGTTAAATGTTAAATTTGGTCCCTCAACTTTAGTGAGTTGCACATTTTTGGTCTTTCAACAATTTTTTGTACTTTTTTGATTTCTCAACTATACGAAATGCACTCCGTTAGTCCTTCTGTCAATTTTCGCCGTTAACTTGGTCACATGGCATTTTTTATATTTTTTTTGGATGACATAAAAAAAATAACTTAAAAGGCGTTGATTTGGACTTTTTTTTGGCGACATGTCATCTTCCTTTCTCATCTTCCCTCTCTGCAAAATTAACCTCATCTTCCTTTCTCATTTTCCCTCTCTGCAAAATTAACCTTCACTCCATCTGCAGAATCAATCTTAACCCATTTCTTTTTCCCTCTAAATGCTCTCTCATCTCCACTCCTCTACAAAACTGATCTTAACCCATTTCTTCTTCCTCTCTAAATGCTCTCTCATCTCCACTCTTCTGCAAAGCCGATCTTAACCCATTTCTTCTTCTTCTCTTTTCTCAAGAGAACTTGAGAAATTGAACCCAGTTATTGGGTTTCATTCAAGCCTCAAACTTAGTAAATCTTATCAAATCAAATTAACCATTCAATAAACAAAATAAGCAATATCAATCAAACTCTGATCAAACTCCAACAAAAATACAATCAAATTGTAAATCAACTCTCAAATTTATTAACAACTGGAAATGAAAATCCAATGAAAAATGAAAAAACATGAATTCAGCATCGAAACAGCAAAGCTGGGTTCATCGGAACCAAGCTGGGTCTCGTCGAACCCAACAGCTGGGTTCGGGTAAACCCAGCAAGGCTGGGTTAGACGAGACCCAGCAGGGTTCGTCAGAACCCAGCCTGCTGGGTCTCATCGGAACCCAGCAAGGGAGACCCAGCCAGGCTGGGTTCGACGAGACCCAGCCTTGCTGGGTTCGACGGAACCCAGCCAGATCTAGGTTTCGTCAAACCTAGATCTGGCTGGGTCTCCCCGAACCCAGCAAGGCTGGGTTCCGACGAGATCCAGCAGGCTGGGTTCGTCGCAGCCATGGAGACCCAGGGCAGGAAAGAAAGAAAGAAAGAGAAAGAAAGAGAAAGAAAGAAGGAGAAGAAGAAGGATTGGGTGGGTGAGGGTAGTTAGGTAATTTTATTTGTTTTTATTTAAATTATAAATATT